CTCCTGCTGAAAGATCCTGGAACACAGGGGTCCAGCGTTCCCTGGCTAGACTCAGAGACTCTTCTCCAGCTCACCCGGCCTCATGTTTGAGGCCAAGGGAGGGAAGAGATGCAAATGAAAATGGGAAGAGCTGGTTTCACTAGAAGTTGTGGGATTTGAGAAGTCCAGATAGTACTGTACAGCACCCACTTGACAACAGAGAATGATGTGAAAAGGAGAGAGAGCTTCCTCCTCACCTTGCAAGGAACCAACACCTGCATACCAAGGGCTCAAGAACACAGCTCAGCCTGGCTCTGCGAGGGCAGCCCCCAGGCCATGGCTTCAGTGGGGCCAGTAGAGGTAAGAGCACTTAATGCCCAGGGACTCCAGAAGGACACGACCTCCAGAGACAGTGGCCATGGGCACCTGCTGCTCTGAAGATTCAGGAGGCCACACCAATAGTGCAGGTGGTGTGACATGCTCGGGAGCCCAGGGAGACAGGACTTTGGCAGGGAGAGTAGGGCATTCACAGAGGGCCCGGGCTGTACCCACCAGTAAGGGGGCAGGGCAGAGGAGAAGGCAAATGATGAAGGGTCATATGACAGGACCTCTGGAGACTCTCCCAGACATAGCTGGGAACAGTTCTGAGATGGAAATACCGCAATAGCACGTGGCAGAAGAACCAGAGAGATACTGTGTGTTACTGTTAACTGGTCCTATTTTTACCCCCAGTACACTTAGGTGTAGGAAAACACAGGTTGATAGGCATCTTCATGGATCTTATTGTATATCCTATACAGTATTGCTTTTATTTCATTCATTCATTTACTCACTCAACAAGTATTTTTTTCTACTCCAGATAGGGTTTTACAACTCACACAGCCATTAGCAGCATAACAGTATATACCAATTTCACTACAACTTCTCCAGCCTAGGATGTAATAACTCTTTCATTTTGATGGTTAGTAGTTTTGTTCTATTTTGTTTAGTGGTTGAAAACTATCTCAAAAATCTAAGGATTGGCTCCTAACTTTTGTTCTTATTTCAGAAATGTGTATTTATGTAGATAAACATTTTTACAAAGTTACAAAAGTTAAAGCGTGTTCCATTATCCATGGAACAAATCACCTTTATTGAAAGGTCACAATTAGCCAAATGTAGGGCGTCACTGAGTATTGGGAATGTGTGGTGTCACCACCTTTTCTGCTGGCCTCCATCCTTCCCCAACCAGGCTGGTTGCAGCCTGAGGACCCTGCACCATTCTTTTTCTACATCGTTAGTGAGAATTAACCAGGGATGGCTTAGAAGTTCCCTAATCTTAGTGCATGAAAATAGACCAAGTTAAGCTCGGTAAATGAAGGAGAAACTGCCTTTTTTTCCCCCCCTGCATAATCCAAATAAACAGCGTTTGACCCTTGTCAAGAAGTCTCTGAGTGTCATGATACTTGAATAAGGGCTCCAGCTCCTGGGAGCTTAACTCCATCTGTGTTTTTTGTTCTAAACAACCAGGGCCCTCCTACCGCAGGAATATCTTGCAGTCCACCCACCATCATCCTGACTGGGGATGCCAGTTCACCAGAAGAAGAAACTGACAAAAACCTGGTCAACAGGTAACCTCCTATTTGCCTAATCTGTGCTGTAAAGAGCAGTATTTCCTAGCATGTGTGGATTAGACAGCTCTATTTTTTACAAATCTTTTCTTCGTTCTTGATCATTTTATCGATGAAATACAATCAAGCAGTTTTTCAAAATGGGAGAGAGAGCTTGGGATTTTTCCATTATCTTTCCCCACAAATTATTTCTTCTCTCCTAGATTTGGCTCTTTGCACTTTGTTAACCTTTAAGAAAAGCACAGCTCATAGCAGGGGAGTTTTCTACAATAACTGCTCAGATATTTTCAAACAGACCTAAAAGATGTGAATTTTTTACTAGAATCCTGCTTCTGGCCAAAGTGGGTCCTGTGTTGTGGAAGATGATCTCTTGGAAGGGACACTGGCTCACATGCACAGGGATGTCCCTGCCTCGGTTTTACACAGCACTAGCCCATGCATTGGTCTAGCTGGAATGAGATTTTCTAAGTTTAATTTCCAAAAAGTTACAAAGATAATTCTAATACAGATATATAGTGAGCATGTGTCAAAGATTTACTTAACTCATCAACGAGGGGACCGTCAGGATAACAAAGCCAGTTCAAAGGAGGATACGAGAAATGGATATACATAGTATAATCAGTGAGAGGAAAAGAAAGCTGGAATAAGATTGCTAAGTTAGAGACTTCCCTGGTGGTGCAGTGGTTAAGAATCCGCCTGCCAATGCAGGGGACATGGGTTCCATCCCTGGTCCGGGAAGATCCCACATGCCGTGGAGCAAGTAAGCCCGTGTGCCACAACTACTGAGCCTGCGCTCTAGAGCCCACGAGCCCCAACTACTGAGCCCTCGTGCCACAACTACTGAAGCCTGTGCACCTAAAGCCCGTGCTCTGCAACAAGAGAAGCCACCACAATGAGAAGCCCGCACAAGGCAACAGAGTAGCCCCCGCTCGCTGTAACTAGAGAAAGCCTGCGTGCAGCAACAAAGACCCAACGCAGCCCCCCAAAATAAATAAATAAATACATCTTTAAAAAGAGAAAAAAAAAAGATTGCTAAGTTAGATACAAGATAGGTTAATGTTTCACAGGGCAATGAAACCTTATTTTTATCTTTTCTCCCCAACAGAAATCATCTGCATCTCTACCAGGCAATTATTCACAGTTTATGAGTTTTCTGCAAGTTAGATATTCACTCAGAGTCTGAGCCCTAATAAATACTGAATCGTCAAAGTTACAAAGGGCAGTGGTTTGAAAACTTTAGAGAGCATCAGGATCACCTGGGGTTGGGGTTGGGGCTTGTTCAGTCACAGATGGTTGGGCCCCATCCCCAGAGTTTCTGATCCTGTCGGTGGGTGAAGCCTGAGAACTTGCATTTCTAACAAATTCCCATCTTTTTTCTCCCTTGAAAAAATAACAAGCTTGTAAGATGATGCTCTAGGATGACTTTGAAAGAATATGCAAGCATCTGGTCACCTATTTACCAGCTGTGGACAAATTTTCCTAACAAGATGACTCTGTTTGGTCTTTCAGAGCTCACAGTCCCCACAGGAGGCTTTCTCACCGACACCTGAAGGTTTCCACTGCTCCCCTGACTTCTGTGGGTAAGGGCTAGGCCGATTTGTCTTATTTCTGCCACCGGAGATAGGGGTCCAACTGAAGGTGTGTTTGAGTAGGAAGGCTGAGGTCTGGCAGCTTGGCCGGGCTTGGCCCCTTCCCCTCTTCTGCTTCTCAGATTAGTAGTCCCAGAGGGGAGAGTATCTGAGTTGTGCCTTAGAGAGTCGGACAGATAGACAAGAGGCAGGAAATGTCATTTGGGTGGAGGAAGCAATTGTGTTGCTGGGCAGGAGCCATAACAGAGCAATTGCGTGCTTGGCTGTGTGTCAGGACTCTTTCAAATGACAGAGACTCAATTTAAACTAGCTTATGCCAAAACACATAAAAATAAATAAAAGCCAGGGTCTGTGCTTTCAGGGAGCGCTGAGCCCAGATGCTCATGTTGGGTCGTTAGCAATCATCCCATCCCATCTCCCAAGTTTCCTCTCTTGTGTGTTGGCTTCCTTCTGGGCAAATGGCTACCAGCAACTTACATCCCTTCAGTGAAAAGAGAGCTCCTCTTCCCCATAAACCCACCACCATTCTCAGAGTTGCCTCTCACTGGCCTCCATGGCCATCCCTGAACCAGTCACCCAGGGGGATTGAACTCATTGGCTGGCTGAGAATGGTACATGGTCCCATTACTGGCACTTCGGCTGAGATGGGCAGTACTGTTTAGCTCCTTCCTAACATGACTGAGACTCAGACGAGTTTCACCCAGTGCAAACTGGGGAGCTATGACCAGAAGGAGGAGGAACGGAGGCTGGAGAGGCACAACGGGAGCCATTCACTACCAAGGGGCTGCAGGAGAGGAGTATGTGGAATCAGGGAAAGTGGCTGGGCGCAGATTGGCATCTGGACGTCACACTGGGGACTAGGAGGAATCCTGATGAGCTGAGGCAGGAGAATTGCATGGTCAGATACGGCCCTTAGGAAGGTCACTGTGATAGGCAGTGGAGGATGGGACGGAGCAGATAGCCTGGAGGTGGAGGACCTATGAGGTGGCTGATATAATTGTGCAGGTAAGTTACAGCTGATGAGCAAAAGTGGCGATGAGGCCCAGGTTCCAGAGATACTTACTTGATGCTGAGTTGGTTGGACCTGGGGGCAGCTGAGGAAGAAGGAAGAGTGTGGAGTGACTCCTACGTTTCCAAGCAGCTGGGTGAGAGGTGGTGTCACTCACCCAGGGAATGTGTCCTGGAGAAGGGGCAGTTATGGAGAAGGTTGGGGGTAAACAATGTGAGTAGAGGGAGAAAGGAGGGAAGGTGGCCATGGGATTGTGTCTCTGGCCCAGGATCTTTGGAGTGCTTCCTTTATCTACATATGTTAAGCTCACTATCTTGTTAAAGAAACAGAGACCGAAGGAAGAACACTAGGGGAGCAGGTAGAACAGGAGGGGCTCCTGGTGGCCTTCCCTCACGGCAGAGTGGAGGACAGTACTGGGAACCTAGGTGGCTTCATGGCCATTTGTGACAGAGGACCTGCCACATCCACCGGCTACAAGCTGGAGGGGTCAGGCCTGCTGGGGGAGCCCTGGCTGTCCCCATGCAGCCCTCTCCAGGACGCGGCATCGGGCCGAGGTTTGGCTGGCCGAGTCCCCTCTGGGCAGTGTCCCTGGGCTGAGGGGTAGGGGCTGGGGCCAGGGCTGAGGTTGGGGACCAAGGATTCTGTGGCTCTCACGCCGTGCTCACCCCTCCTCTGCAGACCCTGCGGGGCACATCATTGACCTGGTAAACGGCCAGCTGCCGGACATCAGCATCTCAGAGGAGGACAAGAAGAAAAACCTGGCGCTGCTGGAGGAAGCCAAGTCGGTGAGTGAGCGGTTCCTGACCCGCCGCGGGAGGAAGTCCAGGAGCAGCCCCGGCGACTGCCCGTCAGGTAGGACGACAGGAGGCCGCCCTGAGCCCCTCCGACGGGGGCGGGCGTTGGGGAGGGCCCAGCCCCAGCTGCAGCAGGAGCCCTGCTTCCCAGGGGTGGCCCTCGACACGCCTGCCCCCAGGCCTCTTGGGCCCAGGAGGACTGAGCCTCGTGGACAGGATCCTGTGTGGAGAGGGCATCTCACCCCGTATCAGAAGCTCTGAAATACTGACCCAACTCTAGCCCAGAGAACTCTGCTTTCCATTTTTTGGGGTCTATGTGTGACCATTGTGTCTTCCTGCTTTGCCAAGAAGCGCTAGCCCATATGACACCCGTGAACTTGACCTGGGCTCCCCAGTCCCTGAACCCTGCCTGGAGAGAAACCCTCTGTGTGATGCCCAAGTGCACAGACTCCCGGGCCACCCTGCAGGGCTGGAGTCTGTGTGGTCTCCCACCATCCCCAGGAGGCCCTGCTCTGTGAGCACCTCCTCTGCAAAGGTCAGGAGAGGCCGGCCCTGGACTTCCTCTCCCTGACCTCCAGCTGTGGCCCGGGAAGGATCCTAGGGAAGGGAAGTGTGGTCTTTGGTGTCTCTCTGGAATTTCTGGATTAGAAGAAAGGTTTTTTGAAATTCTCCTGCTATCCCTTTGGCTAAAGTCACTCTTTTTCTTGAGCAAAAATTTGGGGCAGTTAAACAAGTCTGAGTGTACTTAGGAGGGAAGGGGCACATTTGAAATCAGAGCCATTCTGGCAAGTCTAGGAGGTATAGCCTTTGGAGCTGTACCTGCCAAGCAACGCCAGGTCCTCTGTTTCTAGAAGGTGCTTTGGGGTGAGGCCAGGCAGACTTGAGGAGTGTGACCCCAATCACCCTCCCTCTCCCCCAAATGACCCCAGCGCCCCCCCGTTGGGCTGGCAGCAGGGAGGCATTGGGCTGTGGTAGGAGCCTATCATGGAGTCCAGAATCAGCCCCTGAACATGATGAGGCAGACCCAGTCCCCAGAGGCGAGAAATACCTGAAAGGATGTCTTTGTTAGGCTGAAGTCCTGAACCTTCACGAATGCTGGCCAATTTGTGTCTGTCTCCACAGTTGTTTCCCCAAACCTCAGCCCCGGAGCTTCTCCTGGGTCCTCTCAGAGCAACTCCCTCACCGTTCCCAAGCGGCCTGGTGAGGTCCACCTCCCCCCCGAGCCCCACAACATTGCCCACTCTGGCTCCCCGCCTTGGGTGGCGGCTCAGTCCCTCCCCTGGGCCCCAGAACTCCTGTCCTGCAGCCTCCCCAGTCAGGACCCCTGTTTGGTCCCCTCCCCAGGGGCCTGGCTGGGCTGCCTCAGAAGAGGAAGATGTGCTTTCCTTGGGGTTTCAAGCTAGCGTGGGGAGGTAGGCCTAGCGCAGGATGAGGATGGAGGGAAGGGGGCTATGGCTGGGGCCCTCTGCCCAGAGAGGACCTGGAGAGAAGTCACCTCAGAGCTTATTTGCAAAGGCCTCTATTTGGGCCACTCTCTGTGTTTTGACCGCTTCCCTTTCATTAGGCTGCATTCAGGGCCACACCCTCAGCTCAGCCAGGGTAGGGGTGGGGTGCCAGGGAGAGCAGCCTACCCTTGTCAGAGCTGCGGGGCAAGCTCAGGCTCGGGCCAGGCAGCCTGGGTTCGGATCCCAGCGCTGATACTCCGGCTGTGTGGCCTTGATTTCCCCCTGCCCTGGCCTCCTCATGTGGTTTCTGTGAGGATTAGATGGGGGCTCCCCACAGAGCCTGGCATTGTGAGAGGTACTCAACAAGCACGGGCATTACTGCCTCCTGGGCCCGAGGGACCCAAGGGAGGACACTCTGGGGAGGTAGATGCGTTTTTGCTAAAGGGACAGCTGAGGGTCTGGGGTGCTGGACATCACTCGCCAGTGTCTGGACCATTTTAGGTTTGGATGCGTGCAGTGGCCCAGGGTCCCCTCTGCCCGGAGCACCACCACAGGTAACGGGGCACCGTTTGGGGTTTCTATGTCAACTAGTCTCTCCTCTAACCCCTTAACACCTGAAAGGCCCTCCATGACCCGCTGGAGGCGAGGGTGCTGGGTGGGGGAGACATCGACACCACTGTAGAGGTCTCCTTGAGGGCGTTTCAAGAGGAGATTCGGTCTCTTCACGTTGCTGACTCACTCGTGTTTACTTTCTCCAGCAGAAGGGGGATGAGGCCGAAGTCTCTTCAGCTCCCCTTGGCGAGCCTGTGAGTTTGAGGTCTGCCCAGTTTGGATGATTTGAGTGTGGGAGACACGGTGTCCCAGAAGCCTAGGCTGGCCCTGGGCAGCCTGCCAGTGGGTGTGCGTGAGTGGAAGGTCAAGGCTGAGGAAGCTAGAAGGTTCCTCTGCCCTACGGTGACTGGAAGTCTGAGGTGGAGGGGGTGAGGCTGTGGGATTCAGTGGGGATGACCTCCATGGTGGTCCTGCCCAGAGTCCTACATTCCCAGTCAGGCTGCTGCCAGAGGCCGGGGGGACCACTGGGCCCAGCAACAGCCAAGCAAGACTGCTGCCCCCGTCAGCTCTAGTGAAAATTGCAGGAAAGCTCCAGACCCTGGCTGGGACTCTTCCTGGGGGCAGCCTAGAAAACCTCATCTTTGCTGACGAGCAAACGAAGAGCCCCACACCTGCTTAGAACCACCTGCTCAAGGTGGTGTCAAGGGCAGCATAGAATATAATCTCATCTAGAACTGGGTCTGGGATAGAGTCCTCTGGTAGAGTTTCAGCACACACACAAGACAGCCACACAAATACCCAGACAGACCCACGAACCTGCACCTCACAAAGCAGGTTTCCCTTGGGAAATGAAAGAAGAGTACAGAATCTTGGAACTTCTGAAGAGCAAGCTATCAGCTTTGCAAGAACCCCCTTATTCAGTGATCTGTAACCTCTTTTGGATCATAGGACGCTCTGAGACATTGTTGAAAGCTATGGACTCTCTTCCCAGAAAAATACATACAACACACAAACACACATATACATTTGTATATAATTTCAGGGAGTTCACAAACCTGATGGGAAATCTGAATCCCTAAGAGTTAAGGGCCTTGCCAGGCAGAGCTAGGACTAGAATCTGGGGCAACAGAGTCAAAGCCAAAACGTGTGGCTGCACTCCATTCCACTGTCCTCTGCAGCACCTAGCCCTTGGGAAGTTCTTGGCAGGTTTTGAATGGCAGGTCCCCTTATCCTGTCTGTTTTACAAACCTCAGGCTTGTTTGTAGGTCCCCTTTACCGGCTCAGATGTGACTGAGAAGTCCTCCCTTTCTACCTAGCCCATACCTCTCCAACACCTCCCCACCCCTACACACACACGCACACACACACACACACACACACACACACACACACATACACATGTGCGCACGTGCGGGTCCCTTAGCAGGGTCCATGGGGATAGAGACCCCACAGCAGAGGTGAATCCACCCTTCTCCCCTCCAACCTGCCCCCGGGGTCCCAGCTCTACCTTGTCTCTTTCAGAATGTCCTCAAAGGGCTAGCTGACCGCAAGCAGAATGACCAGAGGAAAGTGTCTCAGGGCAGGCTGACTCCTCGCTCTCCCACAGTTGAGAAGTCCAAAGAAATTGCAATAGAACAAAAGGAAAACTTTGATCCCCTCCATCGCCCAGAGGCCATACCCAAGGGCCCAGCTTCCGGCACAGGCAGTGGTGGGAAAATGGCCCTGAACAGCCCCCAGCCTGGCCCTGTTGAGAGCGAGCTAGGGAAGCCGCTTCTGAAGACAGCCAAGGAGGGCAACCCTCTGCCCAGAAGCCCAACCCAGGGCTCTGGAGGGGCGGCTCCCCAGTCCCCCCAGGGGAAAAGTACAGTCGGAGAGCCCACAGGGTCCAAGGTTGGCTCCAAAGCTGAGCTGTGGCCCCCTGTGTCCCGGCCGCCCCTGCTGCGGGGTGTCTCCTGGGACAGCAGTCCCGAAGAACCCGGCCCCCGGCTTCAGAAAGTGCTTGCCAAGGTGCCGCTGGCAGAGGAAGAGAAGCGTCTTTCAGGCAAAGCTGGCAGCAAGCTGGCCAAGGCTCCTGGACTTAAAGACTTTCAGATACAAGTGCAGCCAGTGCGGATGCAGAAACTGACCAAACTCCGTGAGGTGGGTTCCTGGGGTCCTGCTGGGCAGGGTGTGCATCCAGGTCCCCAACCTGGGCTGAGGGCCTCTGGGCTGGGCTGACCTGGGCCTGGGGTGGGGCAGCTGTGGCCCCGATGTGGGCCTTGTGGAACCCTGAACCTCCCCACCCCGAAAACCAGCCCACTGGGCAGCATGTCCTTCATAAATATCACCTTTTGTGCCTCTACCCTGCTCACTTGGGTGAGGTCAGCTGGTGTAGAGCTGCCACATTTCAAGGGGAAGGTGGGTATATGGAAGGACACATGGGCCCTGAGTCCTGGGCTGTGTTTTCCTCTCTAACTGGAACTGGTGGCTCATGAACAAGAAGCCTTTGATGGAGCACCTTGTCATGCCTAGGATGGGGCAAGGATGGAATGGCTTTTCCCTCTGTCTTGCCCCCCAAGCTTTCCTTCCTGATACCTGTTAACAAAGGGCCTCAAATCCATCCAAACATGGCCGTGAGGGGCTGCCCCCGCTGTGGTGAATTTCTTCTAACACCCCTGATGTCCCTAACTGTCATTGGCCGTCAAACCAGGCACAGCTGTCTCTCATGGGGCTACTGCCCTATTCATGGAATGACTGGGGGTCATCCAGAGATGCAGGGGGAGAGAGCCCAGGGTGTGAGGAAGAGAAGAGTTTAACAGGACAAAGAAATCCTGACCCAAGCCCCACTTCCCCAGAGGGCCAACCCAGGCCACAGGCCAAGGCAGCCGGGACTCCATGGGGTGGGGCCTGGCGCCCACACAGCTGGAGCTGGATGAGGCCCTCCTGACTCCCCTACAGAGGGGCCGTGGGACAGGGAAGGAAAAGAGGCACTTGACAGCGGTCATGAGCAAGTGCGGGGTTGGGGGTCTGCACTAGCAGGAACGCGTTCCAACCGTGGCCACTGTCCTGCACAGAAGCCTTCTGCGTTGGAGGCTCCGGGGGAGCTGGGGCCTGGCTGCTGAGGTTAAAAACATTATACACGGAAAAGCCCACCCAGCCAGGAAGACCTCACTAACTAGCGGGTCAGCACAGGCCTGCAAGGGCCACCCCTGGTGGGCCGCAGCCCCAGACCCCTGGGGAAGGTGACACCAAGGAGGCCAGACAGGCATTTGCCTTCACGTGCCTCTGGGCAGCAGAGGCCAGGCCCAGGCGACAGGCCACCCCCAGCCCCCTGCTAGTTCCCCTCTGCAGCAAAGAAAACCACAGAGAACCTGGAGGCCCCATCCCACTAACCACTGCCCTGCGTCTGACCGCACCTCCAGCCCAAGCCAGGGTGCTGAGAGCCCCTTGGTTGTGGGCCTCTGGTTAAGGAAACAGACTTCCATCTGGGCCAGAGCTCCCTCTGCTGGCCCCTTCCTCTCCTTCACCCAGGAGGAAAACCGTCCAAGTAGCCTTTGCTACCGGGACACTGAAAATCCCCTTAGAAGCACAGGTCACAGGTCCAAGGAGCTCTGTGTGGCATTTCCATTTGGGTGCGCCGGTCTTGGACTTGGAACAGGTGTGAGCCTACCTGTGCCACATACCTGCCGTCAGCATCCCCATCTCTCCTCGGCTCTGCTGGCCGAAGCCCCAGGCAGCAGTGGCTATTGGCCTGCTGCCTTGGGACGGCAATCTGCAGGCCTCATTCGTCTGGAGAGTTTAACAACTCAAGAGGTGCCATCACAGGCCACTGAGGAACTGGGGGCAGGGGAGGTCACAAGTCCTGAAAGTGGGCACTCACTGCCCAGAATAACAAGGCAGGAAGCTCCAGGCAGCTCAGAGCACAGCCATGAGATCACAAACATTGTTTCCATCTTTGGCGGCTCCATACACACCCAGGGGACCCTCCTATCCCCAGAGCCCTGGGCTCTGCTTCTGTTTGTCCTCCAGCCTTCAGCCACCATGTGGCTGGCAGCTCCCTTGCCCTGAGGCTCACAGGCTTATTTAAAAAGCCAGCCATGCGAAGGACCATTCCTGACCCAAGGAATGGGGCACTGATGGTGGGGTTTCCAGCACCTTTACAGGCTGGGAGAGGAGCGGTCTTCCTGGTGCCCCTCAGATGTCGTGACTGTCCCCACCCCGAGTGCTGCCCCGTGAGACTGAGGGGGTCACAGAGCCATAGAACCGAGGGAAGAGTCCAGCCTGAGGTCACCATCTGAAACGTTGTCTTTCTTTTCCTAAAAAGGAGCACATCCTGCTAAGAAATCAGAACTTAGTGGGGCTCAAGCTTCCAGACCTTAGTGAAGCGGCTGAGCAGGAAAAAGGTAGGTGGGATCGGGGAGATGCTCTCCTCAGGCTGGGGCTCGATTCATTTTCTCCAGATCAAAGAAGGTGAATGTGTAAACACTGCACATTCTGTCAGGGCCTTTGTCCATCCCAGTGGCGAGTGTGGGCCAGACTCAGAGCAGGCCCTCAGTAAATATTTGCAAATGGATGAATAAGTGAATCAGATGGCGTTTCCTGCCCACTCAGAAAACCTCTAAACTTGTCTTCTTCCAACCAGCCCCTCTTCTGGACCCCTCCAGCCCTCCCTGAGCCTTGTTAGCACCTAGTGGGTCTGGAAGGGTGACCCAGGCCTGAACTTCTCATGCTTCCTTTTCCTTTTCCTCTCACACCCAGGAAGCCACCCAGATAGAACAGTTCCTCTTTCTGAGACATCAGAGTCATCTCTTGCTTTTTAATCTGCTGTCACTACAAAGTCCAGACCCCAGCCCTTCCCTCCTGGTGGCTGCAAGGCCCCACCCACCCACTTGCCAGACTCGCCTTCAGAAAGTAAAACTTGGGGTCTCTTGCCTCACCTCCACCCCAGCTCCCATCTCCTGACTCCCTTCTCCCGATGGCTCACGCTACTCGCGGTCATTCTCAGCATAGAAACCTTCTGCTTAAGGATTGTTCTGTGGCTGTGTCCAGGGTGCCACCAACCGTGTTGGAAGCCCCTAGTCTGAAATATAGTAACTAACACCTACCTATTCAACATTGACAAGAAGATTCCCAGAAGTAAAACATCCAACAATTATTTTTTTTTTGGCAATCCAAATTTATTGAACTACGGATGCTGTTATGCAAAATTGCACCACTTTAATTAAGGCTTTTAGTTTACGTTTGGCCACCTCAAAAGGAGTTGTAACATTAGGTTGGTCAATTTAAATACTGTGGCTCCCTGTTGGATAGACACACCATGTTTACACCCAAATGTTAATGCATACAAAGCAACAAGGCATTGTTAAATAAAACAGCAATAGTTACTGCAACTTAGGCCTTGTGACCAATTATACATGATTAAAATTACTTCCCACATTCACATCCACAGTACTCATCCACCATTTAACATCTCAACCAAAACATCACACATGTGAAACAATCACTAACAGGCAAAAATACTAAACCTGTATATTTGGTATTGCAAATACACTTATGCATGAGCAAGCAGGGGATTCACAGTGAGAATCTACAGCTGCAGAAGCCTGAAAATGATTTACAAAAGTTGTTAAATCATTAAAAGATTGTTTGAAAATATACACTTCTTGTTGTAGACCCCCACTGTACACACAACTATAAACATTGTTCCCTATGTAAACAAAAAAGGAAACATATAATAAAAGATTTGAAAAGTCTGGACATTTCCTTCCCAACAGATATTAAAGGCAACGTCTTTAAGACATTATCCTGAAAGGACTATCTTATTTTAAAGGCAAGATCACTGTCTCCACAGATTTTTAAAAATTAAAAAACTATATAGCTGTGTTAAAGCGCTCATTTGTACAATGATAATGACCTTGAATTTATTTTTTAAAAATTACAATAAGCTACAAGTATCAAAGAAGTGAAGTTATCTGGAGTAGTCTATATAGGAGCTCTTTGGACTTTCTTCTATTATGCTAAAATAATAGTGGTGCTTTTAGGATTTACATTATTGTACTCTCCAATACAAAGTATGGGGCATGTTAAAGTATACAGTACACCATTTTCATACATGTACAACATTGGTGGATGAAAAATGTCTCTTAACAGTAATACTGGATTGTAGCCTCTGGTTTTACCAGCTGCATACTCTAGGACTATTATATAAGTAAAAATCTCTCTTGTGATACTGGAAAGTAATTAGAATGTGCAAACTGATGCAGTAGCTTTCATCCGCCCGTTAAAGGGTACCACCACAGAAAGTCCGTTTAAGATGTTGGTAGGTTTAACAAAGTTGGAATGCTGGCACTGTTGAATTGGGCAACAGTTCTTCAGACCTGGCTCAGAGCTACAATGCATTTAGTATATTAAAGCAGCTGACATGACGACTTTTTGCGGGCCTTCCCAGGCACTGGAGTTTTCCTGTTAATTTGCCACACTAGGTCATAAAAGATCTCATTAACATTTTTTTTAAACATCTTTATTGGGGTATAATTGCTTTACAATGGTGTGTTAGTTTCTGCTTTATAACAAAGTGAATCAGCTATACATATACATATGTTCCCATATCTCTTCCCTCTTGCGTCTCCCTCCCTCCCACCCTCCCTATCCCACCCCTCATTAACATTTATTTATTTTTGATTTTACAGAGGATTCTAAGAATGCACAGTTGTTCCATTGTCTTGCTAAATTTTGACCTTGTTCCTTTCCTACGACTCTTTCATCTTCCAAGTCACACTTATTACCAACCAGAATCATTGGAGCATCATCAGCGTCTTTAACTCGAAGAATCTGTTCTCTCAGATCTTGTAAATCATTAAATACGGACTGTGCTGTGATGGAATAAGCTAACGCAAAGCCTTGTCCGTTTTTCACGTACAAATCCCTCACTGCTGTAAATTGTTTCGTTCCTGCAGTAGCCAAGGTTTCAAGCATACACTGTTGTGCATTACTTCAGCTTGCTTTCTAGAAGAATCTTCTATCGTAGGATCATATTTTTCAACAAAAATTCCTTGAACAAATTGTACAGTCAGAGCAGATTTTCCAGCTCCTCCTGAGCCAAGAGCGACTAGCTTATACTCACACATGGTGCAAACTTGTAAAATCTGGTACCTCTCGCGCTGTCACTGGGTCCCCGCAGCCAGCGTCGGCTCGCGTTCCCTTCCGGGTCGCTGCTACCGGCGCTGCCGCTCTGGCTGGCTTACACGCCTGACTCTCCAACAACTTTTTAAAGTACTAATTTAAAAAAACTAGTCATCTTTAGATGAAATCTTTGGAAAAATATGATATACTTCTCTACTTTTAATTTCTAACTTGTTTATTAAAGCAGATTTAAAACCCTAGGAAAGATTTATCTTAAAATTTCACCCGCAACCCCATAAATTCTGAAAAAGCAACAGTTTTTATTCTTTCCAGTATTTACCCTTATTTATAATTTTTTCACAATTGATTTGGTGGTGTAGATGCAACTCCCTGTTTCTAACTTTTTTTTTTTTTTTAAGATTTAATTTTATTTATTTTTGGCTACGTTGGGTTTTCGTTTGCTGTGCGTGGGCTTTTTCTAGTTGTGGCGAGCAGGGGCTACTCTTGGTTGCGGTGCACGGGCTTCTCGCTGCGGTGGCTGCGGAGCACAGGCTCTGGGCGCGTGGGCTTCAGTAGTTGTGGCTCGCAGGCTCAGTAATTGCGGCACACAGGCTTATTTGCTCTGCGACGTGTGGGGTCTTCCCAGTCCAAGGATCGAACCTGTGTCCTTTCCATTGGCAGGCGGATTCTTATCAACTGTGCCACCAGGGAAGTCCCCTGTTTCTACTTTTAAAATACTTATTTCACGACTAATTCCATTATAGTTTGACTTGTCCTCATATTTATCATTTAATGGGTGCATAGTTTCCTTTTGTATTGATGTATCTATTGTTGGGTATTTCAGATGTTTACAGATCTTTTAACTATGATTAACAACACTACTATAAACAACTTTGTACTTGTAGGTTTTTTTTTCTTTCTTCCTTTAAGTTACTCTCTTGGGATAAATTCTCAGGCTTGAGAGTCACAGGGTCAAAGTGTAGGAATATTTGTAGGAATATTTGCATTTACCATATTGCCTCCAATGGGTGATGCTCCCTGTAGACTGAGTGAGGGGTCTTCTCACTAAACACTACCTGCACTAGACTTTGCTTTGCTTTGCTTTTGCTTCTTATTGGCCAGAATGTAATGAGAACAAGATGATCCAAAATAACAATTACTACTATTAGTAGTAGTAGTGCGAAATACCATTCCATTATTACTTCAATTAATTTGCTTAAACTTAAAATTTTAAAACATTTTTTTCTTAATGGGTGAATTAACTATTTATTTCTTTACTCATGTGTTCATTTGGGTCTTGGGTTTTTTGTTGGTCATACATGTAGACGTTATAGATAGTAACCGTTCTTTGGCTGTATTTTTTGTCAATACTTTTTCATTTTTCTTTTTTTTTTTGCCTTTGAACAAATTTTGTATTATTTTAGAGAGATCATAAAGTTTTTATACAGTAATTTTAGCCTATCTTTTCCTTTGAAAGTCTTCTATTATTTAAATCATTATAAAAATATTACTTCTCCTTAATTGGGATAACAAATCTATTTTCTGATAGTTTATCTACAGTTTGATTAATTTATATTTATTTTGCTAATACCTCTGAAATTTGTTTTAAGATATAGGTATTTGAAGACTTAAAATTCTGTTACCTCAATAATATTTTAATAATGTTTATATTCCTTATTACATTGTGGCTTAGATAATCACACACTGCATGTTTTTTTAATGTATAGCAAAGACTGGTTCTGGGCCCTTGATTCTGTTTTATTCTGATCAGTATTGTACCATTTTAATTACTGCTGCCTTATAATATGTTCTAGTGTACAGTGGGTTACTTCTCCCCCATTGCTCTTCTTTTTCAGAGTATTCATTATATTCTAGATACAAAGATTCAGTGCAAATTAATAGAGCAACTGGACAAGAATTCAGGAGATTGGAGTTCATGGCCAGACAGCACTTAACGGTGTCTGGTGTCTTTAAATGTGTTCCTCAGCCTCTGTGGGCCTCTGTTCCCTATTGGACTAGGACACTTCAGAAAGCTCTTAACTCTAACCTAAGATTTATGGATTCCGGGTGTTTTCCAGTTTTGCCTCTCACCTACCTATTCTCTAAGTGAAATTTATGTCAGCTTATACAACATTTTAATTGTGATTGCTTTAAGGCTACACACTGGATTCGGAACTGTCCTACTTTTGTTTTACAGTTCATAGATTTTTCAGTTATTTAGTTTGCAGACATTTAGTTCTCATTCAGGCTCGTGGTTTGTCCCTCTATTAATTTAAGTATTCCTTTCTTTTTCCTGTACTAGATTTAAGGATCTTTGTAAAGGTCTTCCATATCTCTTATTGAGACAAATTCTACATGATTTGTATTTTTGCTTATTTATGAAGAAGACTTTTTTCATTAGACCTTCCTAACTGATAATTAGTGTCATAGATGAATGCTGCTTGGTATTATACATGTTTCTTGTATAATAAATATTACTGTTAACAAATGGTAGAGTGATTACAATAGTAGTTAACTAGCATGATTATTATAACTACGGTGATTACTATGTACCAGGACCCATGCTAAGCATTTGACAATATTTCGCTTAATGCTTACAACAACCCTGAGGGGTGGGTCTTATTATACCCATTTTGCAGATGAGGAAATTGATTCAGGGAGATTAAGTTCACATGGTAATTAACTGCTAAAGCCAGGATTGGAAACCAGATGCGTCTAAATCCAAAGGCTCTTGACCACTTTGCAAAATACCTCATTTTTTCACATTCACAATCTGTTATTTTATTTTATCAAATTCACTATTTGTCTTAGTTGTGTGCTTGTGCATGTGTATGTGTCTTTCTCTTGTATATCTGTATATGTTTTATTATTTTGGCAACATCTAATATGACAATGGTGATAAGGAGAACTCTTGCCTTTTTTCTGTTTTTAATTGAATTATTTTGTGTTTTTCTTTCAAGGACCATGTTGTACCTAATTATTAAATAGATGCACTATTTTAATGTTTTATTATTATTTCATATTTATATTATCACTAAATAGAAGAACATATAATATGTAGAAAGATAAAACATATAAAATATAAAAATATATTATTTCATGTATTATTTTATATTTTTATTTTTCATTATTTTAAGGAAATATATTCTTCTCTTCCAAGTTTTAAGATTCATGTTGAATTTTGTCAATTTTTTTGCATATCTATTTAAAGAATCATATAAATTATATCATTTAATATATTAATTAATAATTTTCCATATATAGAAATAAACCCTTATGGTCCTGCAATAAAATGCATGTGGTCATGGTGTACTTTCTTTTATTATTTACTACCAAATTTTCTATGTGAGTAACTCTTTTAAAGTGTTCTGCAACCTTCCTGCTTTAATTAAGATAAAATCTAAGTTGCTTTGACATGAGGCCCCAAAGTTTGCTAACCTATAGGAGAGAGAAGATTGTTTCATGCTTAAGTAACAATTCTAAGGTGAGCTGTCGGGTTACAGGTGGCTCTGCTCCATGTGATCATTCGGAGACCCTGGTTTCTTCTCTGTTGTCATTTTGCCATCCCCTGAGGTATTACACTTGTCTACATGGTTGAAGCTGGATCATGGGTAAATCTGTGTTCCAGTTTGTAGGAAGGGGAAACAATGGAAGTTCAGAGCAGGCTTTCTTTTTTTTTTCTTTTTTTTTAAAGTAAACTGGGAGTTGCATATCTCTTTTTAGCTCCCAGTTCATTGGTGATGATGTGGCATGGCAATACCTAGCAGCAAGGGATACTGGGGAATGTTGTCACTAGCTGGGCTGCTGGCCATATGTCCATATTAAACTACTTTCACATGGAAGCAGAAGAGGGCAGATTTTGGTGGATGACCAGTTGTCTCTGTCACATTGTCTTTTTTACATAAAAATATTAGAAAGTTTCTCATTTAGTGCATATGGAGCTTTTAGTTTTTTAATAAAATTTAATACTGCTTTGTAGCATTCTGTGGTATGAGGAACTATATAAGTTGTTTGACCTTTCTCTTATTGATTACTATTTAGGTTGTTTGTATTCTTTCTCTACTATAAACGATGTTAAAATGAACATTCTCCATGATATATCTTTATAGAAATGCATGAGTTTTTCCATGGGATAGTATCTTAGAAGTAGAATTGCTCGATCAAAAGGTATTTATATTTAAATATATATGCATACTGCCAAGTTAACTTACAAAAAATTATAACAATGTAGACATCCACTACTACAGCAACACCTCACTATCTAATACCAACAGGGAACAAGATGGATCTTAGAAATTAAATTACCAGGTAAATGAGTTTGATTCCTATAAACACTAAATTGTAAAAAATTAACCATGGAAGGTGTTCAGTAAAGGTACCCTCCCTCCCACTTTTCTCTCATTTCTAGAATCTGAGTGGTTAAAAGCTCAAGCTTCCCCACTTACCAGCTGCATAGCCTCAGGCAAGTTTCTTATGCTCTAGATGCCTTGTTTGCTCATCTATAAAATGGGGGTAAGAATAGTACCTACTTCACTGAGCTGATGTAATGTTTTTATGTGATACTGGTCTTTATTCCAGCAGGAACCTGTCATACATTTTAATTCCTGTCATCAAGGTTGTAGAATTCTTTCTTGCCAGCTAAGTGGGACATTGTACTCTGTGCTCCACAGTATATAGGGCAGTCTGGAGATGTGGCGGGCAACCACATGTGCTTGATCAGCAGAGTTGTGACTTCCTTTTCCTACATTCTGAAAGCTCCATCAAAGAGCCTTATCCCCGCCTCTACCTGGGACCAAAGGCATTGTAAACCCGCCCTGGGAGCTGGAGAGTCTGGCCCCCTTAACAGGTTCTAAATACAACAGTGCATATGAGCTCATTGGGAAAAGCTCAAATCTCCTGATGATTGACTGTTCCTTTGGGAGATGGGGAAAATCTAGAACATTCTGGAGTCTTAAGAACTTTGGCTCTCCTTCGGCTTCTGAGGACTTGGAGACTCTCTTCCCTG